AACACATACATATTATCTCATTACCACTTAATAGTATTTCTGTTGGGTTTCTATATAATTCAGTAAGTAAAATCTCTAGTGAGAACTGACTGCACAGAGGACATCTGTATCAACACCTCCACTTATCAGTAGGTTCACACATTCTTTCCTTTCGGTTTCACTTCCTGCTCACATATGCTGAATTTGCCTTTTGTTTTTTCTTTTGCCTGTGTTGTCTCCTTATCTTTACAGACCTCTGTAATTAAAGGGACCTACTTGGCTCTGGAACACATGAGTAAAGAGTACGGCAAGGAAGGCGGCACCATTATCAATGTATCCTCTATGGCAGGTAACACATACACACACGCACACACACACCTTATCAACAGCAAATGATTCACTGCAGTCTCCCCTTTTCTTCGGGAGAGGCAGTAGCATAGCAGATGGTGATGGGGGAGGTGAGGATGGACTGATGGCAGTGTAGAAGTGCACCATCACTGATTTTAAGGGGTTGGTTTGGAAGTAAATTCTCTGCTGAGCTTTTTTGGTGAAACTGATGCTCCCACTTGAGGTCCTGGGTGAAGCTGAAGGACTCCAGTATTGACTGGGAAGTCGCACAGGGTGATGGGGGTGGGTGGGACTGGGTTCTCCTTGAAATCCACAATCATCTCCACTGTCTGTAGAGCATTAAGCTCTAAGGTGTTCTGTCCACACCAGGTCACCCGATGGTCAATCTGTAGGCGAACTCATCCCCACGAGAGATGGTGGTGCGGCCTCCTGTCAGACAGGAAGTCAGTTATCCACCTGCAGGTGGAGTCAAGCACCCCCAGATTTGAGATCTTGTTCCTGTGGTAGAGCCTGGGATGATGGTGTTAAAGGCAGAGCTAAAATCCACAAACAGTATCCTGGATAGATTCCTGAGCAGTCCAGGTGCTGGAGGATCAAGTGGGAGGCCGTGTTTACTGCATTGACTACCTGCTAGCTCTGTAGCCAAACTGGTTTTGAGGTGGGACAGCACAAGCTGCTCAAATTACATCATTACCACAGAGGTCAGAGTGAGAGATCTGTAGCCATTGAGTCCTATGGTAGTATGTGGCATGTCTCCAGTCAGGTGTTAAAGATAAAGACCAGAGATAGCTGATCAGCACAGTGCTTCAGGCTGGAAGGAGAGACATAGTCTTGTCCGGCTGCTCTTCAGGGGTTCTGTCTCTTGAACAGTCTGTTGCTTCTCCCTCTTCAGTCTTTCTCCAGGATAGTCTCCATTGTGGTAGGGCCCTCTGAGGTTGAGAGCTGTGGAGAGGCCCATGCCTCTGTTGTGCAGATGGTGTCCCTTTGTCTTTCAGTTTGACAGTAATCACATTCAGATCATTGACCAGGTCAGTAGTGAAGTGGCGGGGCTTTAGGTTTATAGTTGGTCATCTGTTAACCCTTTCAGACAGATCCAGAGTCAATTGCTGAGAACTTGTGTTGAAGTTTCTCAGAGTTCACGTAGCATCTCTTACCACCATGCTAAACCTGTATTTTGATTCTCAGTTAGCTGTGAACCAGAGTTTGACAACTGGGCCATGATGTTACATAGTCCTCCTCACAGAAAGTGTTGCTAACATAACAGTCAGTACAGCCTAGCACGCTCAAAGATCCTCTACAGCTCCTCTGTTCCACTTCTTTGTCTTCCTCACACCAAATTCACAGAGCTTTTATTTTAACCTGTATGCAGGAATAGAGAACAGATTTGTTCGTTTGCTCCACACATAGTATCTGATCAGCGAGCATGCGCCCTGCATCCTGCACGTTGGCCAACGGTAGAATGTAAACACCAACCAGAATGAACAGAAAGTTAGTTTATGAAAAATCTCACTGCTATTTCAAAATATACTGCTATTTTACGTTGTCACTATGAATGGTTCTTCTGAAATGTGTATTATGTAATGCTACAGTGTAATGAGGAAGACCAACTGCTAGAAAAACATGACTGCGGACTGACCTTGATGGATGGTGGGAAGGAAAATGTGTTTTCATTTCCCTCTGAGTCAAGAGATGAGAGCTCACTGCACTAAATTTGAATAGTCTGAAATTACAGAGTAAAGAAGAGTTAATCATTAACTTTTGTTTAATTTGATTTATGCAATAAATTTGCAAGGTATAAATGTGTGCAGAGACACTGAAACTAGTGACACAACAGTCCTAGTTTTAAGCACATGGCTTGTGGACCACTCCTTTCTAAAAGACACACATATTTATGTCAAAATGTCACAGATGATGAATTTCTCCAAGTCTCTGGAAGCCAGGCTTATGAAAACAGTTCCTCTCTTCCTTGAGTGCATGTTAAGGGGGAAATACACGAGACAAAAAACAACCATGACAGGTTGGCAGACATCCACTAGAACTAAAACTGTTGATCTGGATCATTCTGTACCTCAGTCTCCGTCATGGAAAAGTTCACACTCACAAAATGTTCATCTGTGTTTTGCTCTCTACAAACCCACACCCTCACTCACACACACAGACACACATTTTACAAGGTAATTCCTGCTCTTTTATGGTTTTATATAGTCCTGATGGGCCAATACTTCCCAGGCCAGGTCTGTAAAAGCTGTAACCTTTGTCTAAACTCAAACAAAAACCCTGCAGGAATAAGTTGTTCTAAGGAAGCACCAGACCACATTATGTATACATTACACAACTTTAAAGACCACACAAGCTTTTGATGGGACTGGAAGCAGTTAATTAAAAGGATTAGTGAAAATGTCACTAGATTTCTCTCCTCATGAAAGGATAACATGCTGTTCTTAATCCAAGCAAACAATCAACCACACATACTGGATGAGTGAGCTGTTAGCTTGTTCCTGTTTGGTTATACCAGAGAGACACAAAGTATCATTGTATTGTCGTGACTCTTTGCTGCTATTCGCCAAGTATCATTAACACCAGTATAATTTTTCCTTTTTTTTTGCTTTTTTAGTTTTCCTGAGGGGGCTAGAATCAAAGTAATGGGGGTCAAGGTCTACAGCACAAGCTGCTCAAATTACATCATTACCACAGAGGTCAGGGTGAGAGATCTGTAGCCATTGAGTCCTATGGTCCTTGATTTTTTGGGGACAGGGATGATCTTGAAGCATTTCATTTGCACCACGGACCACCTGTGGGATGTAGTCCAATAATCACTCTCATTTTACCTCTGTTTTGATCTCCACCACCTCTAGAGGAAAAGTATTTGGCTTGTTAGCTGCTAAATGTTTCATTATGTTCACCAGTTAGTTGCTAAATGTATCTCTCATTTAGTGCTGGGCAGTTAGCGTGTGTTTTTCACAACATACGTTTTTTGTGGAGTATCGTTTAGAAGCCTTGAGTTTGGTATTATGACCATTACCATGTTGATTTTTTGGAGCCAGCAATGGTGCTGTGCTTTCTGTCTAGTTTTGACTTGTAGCAGGTCACACACACTCTCGTATTCCAGATAAACAGTGCACTAAAATATGTTTCTGAAATGATTTCAAGAGAGAAATAGTCAACACATTAACAGAATATTGATAAATATCTGATCAACACTGCCTGGTTTGACAGTTTGATGAGTTCCGTGCAGTGAGCTGGAAAGACTCAGGCATACCCTGCTTTATGGTGTGTTTTACTGTAAATGGGACCATAATTTACTAAATGAACATCTTGCTGAATGGAAGAAGACTGAAATTAAAGAGTGAGACCATAAACTCATCAGAAAACTGTTTACTGAGCTCATAAATAAAGTGTGAAGTCTGCTCCTTTCTGCACATGACTCAATACTATCAGACTTCTTTTTTCCAGCCAATGGAGCTGCCCCCTGCTGGCCATTAGAAAGAATACAAGTTTAATACATTTTGTCTTGGCTTACCTTCACAGACCCAGAAGCTCTGACCCTTATGTATATATGGTAAGTGGTTTTTCACAGAGAACTGATGGAAATGCAGTTGATGAGAGTGGAGTTTATGGGTTGTGTAACTAAATCAAAGAGCTGGAAGAAGTAAAAAACCTAAGCAGAGTCAGTCGATAATGTTCTATGTGTCATGATGAGTGATGTAAAAAAATTGATTGTGAGGTTCAGGAAACATTAGAATCATTTTTCAAAATCTATATATAGCTATAGATCTAAGTAGTTTTTTCGGCTTTTATGCCTTTATTTGATAGGACAGCTGGAGACAGACAGGAAAGGGGGGCAGGTCGGATTCGAACCCTGGGTCGCTGCAGCAAGGACTCAGCCTTGGTACATGGGTTGCCAACACTACCCACTGAGCTAACCAGGCACCCAATCCTATACCTTTAACAGGAAAAATATGAGTTATTTGGAAAACTCCCCGAACCCCGACCCCAACAATGCATTAAATCACGTTCACCAGAACAGTTTCTTCTGTTTATTTCCTTTTATAACCTTTTTCTTCTCCACTTTAAATGATTTGCATGGACATTTTTGGAATAGATATAGTGTTTCCTGAAACTGTGCACAGGTAGTAGCTTTTCTGTCAACTCTTACCAACAGATTATGTAATTACTAACAGGCAACAAAGCCTGGGGCAGAGCTCTGTCCCATATTTCACTCTAAAGAATTTGCAACTGTCAGTGCACTCTTACAGCAACGTGATATGTGTTTCAGTTAGTCATGACATACAGGTAGTGCACTAAAGGTGACCTTTGTGCAGCACATTAAGAATAAAGCAGGAATGTTTTTTTTCAAATAGGTTTCAGTTAGAGCTGGATTCTGCTAAATATTCTACTACGTTTACAAGAACTTTGCTGCTGTGTGTTTTCCAGGAATTTCAATATAGGCATTGTTCACAATAAGGTCATCTGAGGATCTTTTACATTTGTATATGCTTACTTTAGAGCTGTGTGTTGTTGTTGGAAGATTTAAGAGGATGTTCTTGTAGTCGGACACATCATCTTGTAGCTCTAGAACAGTTCAGCCTCCAGTAACAGCAAACATATGGTCATCAGTTTTCACTTATTTCACTCTTGATAACATCAGTGTGTGTGTGTGTGTGTGTGTCCCACAACAAACACAGACTTGTCCAAACATTAACAAGTCTGTGTCAGTACATTGTTTTCTGGGGAAATGTGTTTGTGTGTGTGTGTGTGTGTGTGTGTGTGTGTGTGTGCGCGTGTGTGATGTGTACTTGTGCTGGTAAATGCAGGTGTTTGTGTTTTGATTGACTCTTTTGGATGAGGATGAGGATCATATGAGACTGATTGAGTAGTCCTGTTAGCTTTGCTTTTATTCATGTGAATGTTAATTAGCATATTTCAGTCCTCTTACAATTTCAATGGGTGTGTATACTATGGAAGCCCATTCCTGCACATGTGACAGGGGAAAAAAAGATTCTGTTAGGCATTATAATGAGAAACATTCTGAAAATATTGACTTAGTATTTCAATATTTTGAATTGTTGCAGAAAGTAAACTCTTAATAATCTTCATAAATGAACCTTACTTTTAGGATATTTGATTTGCCAGAAGTTAAATGCTAATGTTAGGTTACCAAGAGGCTACACCACAGTAACATGACTTGTTTACTGACTGATCTTTGCTCTGCGGTGCCGTTGGTAACATCTTTGTCTCCTCTTGTTCTTCAGCCTTCTTGCATTCTCCTCATCAGCCTGTCTACACTGCTACTAAACACGGAGTCATCGGCTTCACTAGAGCTATGGCGGTAAGGCACGCACAGTAAATAAGACAGTATAAAAGGTCATCTTGAGCTTTTGCAGAATGAATGAAATCCTTTTCAACACTCACTGTACCTGTTCTCGCAGGACGCGTCCTCTCAAGGCAACTACGGCGTTCGCATCAACGTCCTGTGTCCAGCCTTCGTCGACACTCCTCTGCTGCACTCGGTGGAGCACGAGGACAACATGGGCAAGTTTGTCAAGTTCAAGGACGATTTCAAACGCAGCATGAGCAAGTTTGGAGTTTTACAGTAAGTAAACTCACACACACGTAACTAGTTTCACTGTGAATGTATTGTTACATAGTGGACTAGACATTACTGTACACTTCATTTATTCATATTTTTTACTGAGAGAACAACGGTTTGAATTGGACTTTTGAGTCATTTATGGTCTTTAAATCAGTCTTCTTATTGATTACTTGATAGCTGGAATTGATTTTAAGATTGTGCTGTAGATTGTGCTGTAGATTGTACCGTAGTGTACCATAGATTGTACCGTAGATTGTACTGTAGATTGTACTGTATTGTAAAATTGTACTATTGTACTACTATTCATTTTATTCTTGTGTGCAGGTATGGGCTGATATTTGTGTCA